TTCAACTTGATAATAATTTTAAACTTTGTCGGAGTGTTTGAAGTAGCGTCTATTTTTTAAATAAACTCGATTGCAACACTAATTTTTTTTTCTATTTCCTCCTTTGTAATCCGAAATGTCTTTTTCGCGTAACTTATGAAAGTCATGCATATCATTCTTAGCGGAAACTATAAAATTCAAACGAATAACTAAAATATAGAGGTCAACTTTAAAAAAAAACTAACAATTTTAAACTGTTAGTATGTTTGTATGCGTGTAAGATTTAAAAAAAAATAAAATAGAAAATTACCACACCTTTCTTGTATTTTAACTGTTTTAATAAGGAGTTTGGTGTAGCAGTTCCAATATAACGGTTGATATTGATTCATGAAGTTTTTTTCAATCGATTTTCAAGAGAAAATTTTAGTCAGAACAAAGTGAAAATCCTCCTTGCACGATTGTACATCAATTTTTCAAGTGTGTTGCGTTGATAGTATGTTGTGATTTTTAGTTCAACCTTAAGTATGTTGATAGTGTGATAGTTCTGTTTACCTTCAGTAACTGCAATAATTAATTGCTTTCCTTTAAACTTCAGATCACACATCTGTCGGACAATAAAAAATTCAAAACTTCTTGGAACAAGTTGTACAAACAAGTATTAGTATGAGCCTAACTTGAAGTTTTTTGAGTTACAATGAAAATTAACTTGCATCAAAGCAGTTGATTTCCACTTTCTAAATCAGGTTACCGAGAAACTACCACAGTCCTTTTTTACATAAAGTTTTTTAATGATTATTTTACTAATCAACTCTTTGGCGAAAATAAACTCGATAAAAAGTTCACGAGTCAGTGCCATCAGGGACAATTTGAGAACGCATACGAAAACGTTTTTATCTTGCATGTGAAAGTCAATTATGAGTAAATTATTTTCATATGAAAAACTTTAGAGCTTATTGAAGTGTAAATTATTTTCAATAAAAAAATTTCTTAACAAATGCTAGATCTTATATACTCTAGCAAATGGAAAAAATGCTCACGCGTTAACAATTTCCTTTCATTTCTACTAATGACTCCAAATTTCCTATGTTTTAAATTGATTTTTACTTTTTTTTTTTCGTAAAATAAAAATTTTAAACTGTAAAAGAAAGAGTAAAATTCAAAAAGAGTCTACAATCGTGATTACAGGCTGTTATAAGCAAAATGCGATGGTAGCTTAGGAATGCAAAATCATAATATTTTTAACGCGTTTCAAATTTTGCAATAATATTAATTTATATACATGCAAAGTTAATGAATCGGCTAATCGTGAGGAAAAACATAACTATACAGGGTGATTCAGAAAGGTATACAATAACGTATACCATTTTCTAGAGTTCCAACTTTTCCAATATTACAATATGCGAGTAAATATTGTATTTTGGATGAAACTATATAGTTGTTTAAATTGAATTGAATTACTGAACGCAATGTAATTCTCATACAAAGGTTTTTGTATTCCTCATCTTGATTTACACAAGAAAACGCATAATTGTGATTTACAAATATTACAAGACATTTTTTAGAAATTTAACATATTGCTTTCATTATGCATTTTCAAGTTTTTGGAAGTTGTATGTAAATTTTGCACAATATGTTCAGCAGTAAGAAATTTTGCTTGCAAAAATTGTGATTATAAAAATGCCTTATAAAAATTTTAATACAAACCGAATAATATTTTTTAAATTGCTCATTTAATCTTCACTTTTCCGAGAGATTTTAATTTTATTTAATTTTTCTTTTAATTTTTTATTATGCGGATATCCATTTTTAAATGCTACATAAATAATTTACATATTTACATTTTACTAAAAACACGAAAAATTTTCAAAGTTTTTAACAATATTTTTATTTATCATTAATTTTATTTTTCAAATTAAATTCTAACACCGTCAAGTCACACTCTTTCCTCGTCATATTATATTGTAATAGATTCTCTATTTAAACTTATGTTACACATTTCGCTAGAAAACTGTGACATCTTTTCGTACAACATTGTTCAGATAGATGACAAAGTTCACCAACTTTTTTACAACTGGCTTGTCTTATGGATGCCAACGGAAATAAATTTCTTAAAAATAATTCAGGTACAGCCTCATTTTTAACATCATTATTCTGAAAAATTAATAAATACAAGATTATTATTGTTAATCAAATAAGATCATTTGAAAAATACTTTACATTTTGACAGCTGCAACAATTAAATGCAATTACAACCAAGACCAGCGTAAATAAGGCATGAAATCTAATATTCATCATGATGTTTTATTTGTTTTAAATAAATAATTGGAAAATGAAAACAAAATAATTTGAATTTTTTAATTTCAATATACAAGCACTTCTATTGCTATGTTTTACTATTTTTGCAAACAAGCTTATTTATACCTCAAAATGGATTGAACTACATTATTTTACTATCTCTACATTCAATAATAATTAAGATAGCGAAAATGAGTTGAGTATACAATAAACAATTATGCTCTATATAAACACACATTTACACATACATACTTGAATGATTATAAATACTTGACACGGTAATTATTAGCAATACCGTTTATGTTCATTATCTTATTAACTACTTTAGTTTATGCTATAGCAAACGTAATTAGTAATTGCTATATGGATTCATACAAGGAATTTCAATGCCACAAACGATTATATATATCATTATATTGGCAACTCTATGTCTCTGAAAACATAAAATTTTAAAATGTTTTCTAAGTTTTATTAGAATGAATCAGAAATAAATTAAACAAACGGTATATTTAATTATCAAATATTCTATTTACATACACACATGTAGGAACATAGGTATAGGAAGCCCATTTTTGTTAATTTTTGATAAGAAAATTTTCAGTGTAATATCGAGGTGAATGGATTTTAAATATGGAAAAACCCAAGATTTTATTTTAGAGAAAATTATTCATTATCTATCTATGTGTGTACGTTATGTACCTATACTGAATAGAAAAATTTTATGATGTAAAATTGTTCAGTAAATTTTTAATTGTTTTTTGGAATATCTAGATTTTTATGCACTTTAGTATATAAGTAGATGCAGAAATTATGTAATAGTCTAATAAATGCTACTTTAGGGTTTCAAATAGAAGTTCATTAACCCCGTACTAGAAGTGTAAGAACAATTCAATTGATGAAACCCGCACCGCTTATTTTATGAATTTCATGTAATTTTTGGTATTTTGCATCTGTTTAAATAATTTTAATTATTTTTTTTTTAATAATTTTGAATTTTTTACTCATTTTTTTTATTTTAGACACTCAAGTAGTCAGCCGGCTGGCAAATTATTGCATATGTACTTTTGCTTCAAATCAAAAATCCAAAGGTACCTTACTATTTTCTAAGGTTACCTTCTTCTTCTTATTTACGTTGAACATTAAAATATTTTAATTGTATTTAACATGAATTTTAATTTATGTATGTATGTCCACATATTATGCAAATAAAATAACTAACATCTTATGAAAAATGTCTTACGAATTGAAAATCGTTACTTAAAGTAATTTTAGCAAATAACCAAAAATGTCATCTTAAGACATGTTGCTCTCTTATAGTGAGAATAAGGTATTAAATTTAATTTTATGAAATTTAAATTTTTCCGTGAATGTCAAAATTTATTATTTTTTTACAATTCATTTATTTTGGAAATTTCCAAGCTTTTCTTTTCCATTCAAAATATTTGTGATTGCAAAAATTATTAATTAAATGCGTTTGAATTTTTATTATTTTGAGAAAAGCATCATAAAATGGAGGTGATTAATTTTATCACTGTTGGTCTAAAATGATCTTAGTAGAAAAATTAAAAAAAATTATGAAATTTTGTAAGAGAACATATGATAATTAACGATAAATTTAGAAAGATTATCATGAAAATCTTGTCATGTACCCATGAGAACCTAAATTCTCAAATAAATTTTTCTCTTTTTCTAGCAATGTTAACGTATGAATATTTTATACGCACATAACTCTTTTATCTAAACTATGAGAGGTCTTATAGTAGATAATCAGCTAAATTAAAGTTAAAGTAGAGAACTTGTTTAGGCAAATATTTGAAAGTAGTCCCAAATTTGTTTAAGACCTTGTATTTCACAACCTTTTAAGCTATATTAATATTGACTCTATCAACAAAATTTTTTCTAGTCATATAAGGCAACGTTACAAAATAGGGCACTTAAAATGAAACAATTCTGGAATTATAAAAAAGATGTATAAAAACTCCATTGTACTGCTCCCAGATAATATTTCGCATTCAAAAACAATATTTGAACTTAAAACCTTTGAAAAATCGTAATGAATTTAAGTCCTACATAATAGAATCTCAATAAGAATATTATTTAATGCAAAAAATTATTTTACATTCGAACATTCAAGTTTATTATATTTTCAAATCTATCGGATAAATTACGAGTGGGAATAAATCATAAGTCAAAATAATCACACAAAAATTCAAACAAATTTTATTACTTTTTTGGTAAGAATTAGACCTTCGCCACTTTCGCAATCACGTTTTACGATTAATAGGTTTTCCCATAATTTTTGGAATCGCATTTTTAAATTCTCAGGTTTTCCCGTATCATTTTGGAATCACTCACTGATTTATCAATAAACTAATCAAAATCGAAGTGTCTGTGGAGTTTCTTTCAACAATTATTCACTAACTATTAAACAAGATATACAAATCTTACCCTTAATAATTAATCGCATATTGTTGAAGAGGAATCCACTGTATACTTTTTAAAATACTTGCTATACAACAATAATTTATTTCTGCTTTTTATTTACGGTACTTCATAAGAAGTCGTTAAAAAAAATAATTACTTATCTCTAGTGTGTAATTGATTGGATTGTGAATGAAATTTATTGTTGGCCTCGTTATCTGAGCCCAGATAATGCAAATATTTTGAATATTTTTAGTATAAATAGCTAGTAAATATTTTTATAGAATTAATTTTTTACGAATTGAGATTTAACACTCTTCTCTTTAATCAAAACAAAAAAAAAAACGATCTATAAAATGCGTGCTGCTATTTTCTTTACTTTGGTACTAGTTGCAGTTTCAGTGAACTCTGGCACTTGTGAAAATGTAAGATTCTCAAAATTGCTTCTAATTGAAATAAATTTTTACTTTTATATTAAATTTTTAATTTTATTTACAGGATCAGGAGCAAGATAACATTGTTATCCCAAGGGATCTTTTCAGAAATTTATTATTAGCTAAAATCAATAATTCTGGAAGCTGTAGAAAACTTGGTGAACCATGTTATGTTTCAGATGAGTGCTGTTCAAAACGTTGTTTATTCTATGCTCACAAATGTGTAACATAGATGGGAACAATATGAAATCACTGTTACTTAATTTAAAATGTATAGGAAGACAATAAATTATTTTTAATTGAAAGTGAATATTTTTACTTTTTATAGCGCGTTTTTTTTCAAAATCTTTGCTGAAAAAATTTTCTCCTCCCCCCCCCCCTTAGTTTTTACCTTCAATTTTAATGGATATTTCAAATTAACCGTTAGCACAAATCCTTGTTAACTTTTGTTAATTTTGTTAATTAACCGTTGTTCCTAAATCCTTGAAGATGTATGTATTTCTTTCGTTGCATGACAACTTGGAGGATTCTTATAGTTTGTACACTTATAGACACTCACGAATATATCAATTCATTTAAAGAAAGTCCTTCTCCACCTTCGTTTTCGAATTTTACAGAACATCTCATACCAATTCTACACGTCTCTTATTTTAATCAGCTGTTTCTAATTTTCTATATGACATGGTAATAAAAAAATAATTTCAGTAGAATTTTCATTGTTCAAAGTGGATGTGTGATGTTTTACAAACGATTGGCTTGGTTCCTTAAATTTTCAAAGTAAAATTCTATTTCCTTTCAAACTGAAATTTGAAAAATTTTAATCCATCCCATTGAGTTTTTGATCGATGTTCATTTAATGACGAAAGCTATTTTCAACATAAATCGATTAGCTCCGGTGCAAAAATAGTCCAATTTTCATCAAAATAAACAAAATTGTTTTTAAACAATTATTAGTTTTCAAATATGAAAAATAAATTGATTCAAGTGTTCTTTGAATCAAAATAAACAGTTTTTTAAAATACTTAAGCCTGATTATGTTGAATTTTAGAATTCTTACTTGTTTAGATTTTCGTCGAGTAAGACATCATTAATTAAAATTTTATTCAATATGAGGACAAAATTTGTTAACTCTTTCACATTACTTTTGATAACAGTAATAAAAAATACGTAAAAATAAGTAATAATTATTAATTAAAAAGTTATTCCTAGGTTTTAGCTTTACTTCAACTTGGTATAGCACAAGTGACCGAATGTCAAGGACCTGGAAATCCATGTGCTGTTACGGAAGATTGCTGTCCAGGAAACATATGTGCATTTTATGCTCACAAATGTGTGTCTAGTAGAGCACAAGTCGCCGAATGTCAGGGACCAGGAAATCCATGTTCTGTTACGGAGGATTGCTGTCCAGGAAATATATGTGCATTTTATGCTCACAAATGTGTATCTAGTAGAGCGCAAGTTGTTGAATGTCAAGGGGCTGGAAATCCATGTACTGTTACGGAGGATTGCTGTCCAGGAAATGTATGTGCATTTTATGCTCACAAATGTGTATCTAGTAGAGCGCAAGCTGTTGAATGTCAAGGGCCTGGAAATCCATGCAACTCTACGGATGATTGCTGTGTAGGGAATGTATGCGCATTAGATTCTCACACATGTGAATCTAGCAGCGAGCAAGCCTTCGAATGTCAGGGACCTGGAAATGCATGTAACTCTACGGATGATTGCTGTGCAGGGAATGTATGCGCATTAGATTCTAACACATGTGAATCTAGTAGTGAGCAAGCCTTTGAGTGCCAAGGGCCTGGAAATCCATGTTATTCTACGGATGATTGCTGTTTGGGGAATGTATGCGCATTAGATTCTAACACATGTGAATCTAGTAGTGAGCAAGCCTTCGAATGCCAAGGGCCTGGAAATCCATGTTATTCTACGGATGATTGCTGTTTGGGGAATGTATGCGCATTAGATTCTCACACATGTGAATCTAGCAGCGAGCAAGCCTTTGAATGTCAGGGACCTGGAAATCCATGTTATTCTACGGATGATTGCTGTTTGGGGAATGTATGCGCATTAGATTCTCACACATGTGAATCTAGCAGCGAGCAAGCCTTCGAATGTCAAGGACCTGGAAATCCATGTTATTCTACGGATGATTGCTGTTTGGGGAATGTATGCGCATTAGATTCTCACACATGTGAATCTAACAGCGAGCAAGCCTTCGAATGTCAAGGACCTGGAAATCCATGTTATTCTACGGATGATTGCTGTTTGGGGAATGTATGCGCATTAGATTCTAACACATGTGAATCTAGTAGCGAGCAAGCCTTTGAATGTCAGGGACCTGGAAATCCATGTTATTCTACGGATGATTGCTGTTTGGGGAATGTATGCGCATTAGATTCTCACACATGTGAATCTAACAGCGAGCAAGCCTTCGAATGTCAAGGACCTGGAAATCCATGTTATTCTACGGATGATTGCTGTTTGGGGAATGTATGCGCATTAGATTCTCACACATGTGAATCTAGCAGCGAGCAAGCCTTCGAATGTCAAGGACCTGGAAATCCATGTAACTCTACAGATGATTGTTGTGCGGGAAATGTGTGTGCATTATATATTAACAAATGTGTATCTAGATTCAGTGGCTAAGGTAATTTACGTGTAGGAACACTTGAGTTAACTTACTTCCATTTAATTAATAAAGACCTCTTTGCAATTTCTTACGAAAATATATATTGTTTGCAAATAATAAAGTTAAAAGTTCAGGCTAAATTAAAAGGTGTGCTAATATTTGAGGAAATAAGTTTTTTTTCAAAAGCAGCCACAGGCGTACAAATATTGAGTTCTTTGCAAGCATGCGGTATAAATTTGTATTACAAACTTTGTTAGGATGTCAAATTGGAGTTAGATAATTTTTCACATTCTGAAATTCTATAAATAACTGTGCTAGACTATTAAAGTGCTATTCCCATTTAATTTTTAATACTATGAAAAGTGAAAGTGAATCACTTCAGATAAATTAAAGGTCACTTATACAAATTGTTTACGTGAGTGATAAGAGTTTGTTATCATTTAGCTATCAAGTTTAAATAAACTTAACTCTGAAAACAACATCGTAATTCGAGTAATCAGATAGGAATTCAATAGCATAAATTTTTAATTATATAGTACTTATATCTTATATCGGAATAATTATAATTGTGTCAATTGTTTCGGTGATTTTCATAAAAAAAAATATTAAGGGGAATAATATACTTAGTGATGATTCTTCAAATAATTTTAAATTAGATAGAATACGAACAATATTTTCAAAATTTATAAAAGTTTAATTTTCAGATTTTGTCAAGAAAAACAAGAATATTATTTAATACAAGTTGCAACTTTCTACACATCTAATATATATAATGGTTTCTTATATGTATATGTAAATTCATAGGCAAATTATTAATTGAGTATGTCATTTTTCTAATAAAATTTTTTATTTCGCTTACATTTTCGTACCCTCACCTTCAAAAACAAAGTGAATTAAATTTTGTATGTACTTTAAAGCAAATGAGATACACAGTAATTCTTCCCACGAATATTATATTATACGGATATCTAGTACTCCCTCACTTTCTTGTCACATAGCGCGTAAAATAGCGGAATACACGATCATACCCTTTATATTGAAAAAAAAATTAAAATATTGAACGTCGAAATATTTGTTCGCACAATTTATATACAAATTAGTTTTTTAACTGCATTATAATTAGTAACTATTTATTGGTGAGTTCTTTTAAGTGATTGCCACTAATTTTGCTTGCTTTACTTTACATGCTTGATTATTTTCAATGACAAGACAATATTACATTTATTATTAGGAAAAATATTCATTATACTGGGAGAAATATTTGCATTGTAAGTCTATATGTTTGGGTAAGTCATTATTGTCAAATGGGGTTTCGATATTTTTAATAGCAAACTTTTAAAAACTGAATGCATTAAACACTCTGAATAACTTGTATTCCATATTGTACCGTCTATAATTTTGCATAAATTTAGGAGGAGAACTTTAATTCAAAAGTGGAAGTTTAAGTGGGGGGAGGGGGGGGGGAAATATTGTTGTTAAGAATTAGTGCTTTCATTGTAATTTTAAAAACATTGCATTTTATATTATTTTTAACACAAAAATTTCTATTAGAAGTATTTTTAATGAATTTGTTTAAATTTAAAAACTTCTGAAAGTCAACTGCAAAGCCACAATTTACTCACTTGCATCCTAATTTTATTGAACATATAACTATTATGAGCGAACATTTACGAAAAATTTCAAAACAAATTTAGTGTAAATGTAGCTCTGTACCTTTATATGTTTGTTAAATTATGAATTACATTTTATATGTAAAATTATGAATTTGCATGTATGTAATTAAGTATGTATGCTTGCATTTTGGATAAGTCATCACGAAACGAAAGAAATGTTATCAACATAATTTATGTTCGACTAATATTAATAATATTTTCAACAAAAATCATTCTAGCATGTTATCCTACCACACACATATACACACAACACAATATTCAAGGTACACAGTTTTAGCATAACAGCAATGTTACTATATGTATCACAGTAAGTGAATATACGTAAAACATGCGTATACACAAACTCCAAGCAAGAATATAAAAAATATTTATGTACTTAAATGTGTATTTCAGATTTATATAAGTACCGTTATGTTATTAAATTATCATCATATTAAATAATCTGAAGTAAAGAATCCTAGTCACGTTATTTATCATTAAAAATAACGCAGAAAAAAAAAGATATTTTTCATTATATTGCAGAAAAAAAAATGAAAATATAATAAAAAAACGTTATGATAATAAAAAAAAAAAACAGAAAAAACACAATTTTTTTTTAAAGAAAGAAAACATGTTTAAAGGAGAAGCAACAAAAAAGACTAAATCCCCGCGAGATCTTTAAGAAAGTCATAAAACAGTAAAATTGAGTTCGTAAAATGAACTTGTCCGCCTGGGGTTGGTAATCATTGCAATAAATTCTTTATTTTCTTATGTAATAACATAGAGAGGCGAACGGCCTCTTCGCTTTCTTCATTCCATCCACTTACCCTCCTTTCTGTCAAATATACTAGAAGAATTTTAAATTTCACAAATATTCCTTTGGTATAAAGTTTAAATAAAGCTTAATATAAAGCCCAAATAAAGGTCAAACTCTTAAAAAGTTCTGCAATATGAGAATTGCTTCCAAAATTAAATAGAAATTTATAATTATGCAAACAAGTTCAATGTAATTTCAAAATTTTCCCAATCAAATATTAAATTTTGACAGACAGACAAACATTTTTTAGAAGCGAATATATGTAGATTAACAGAACATGCCCAGATTGCCTTTTTGAGCTTACAAATTGTTCAGAAAAGCTTAAGTTGGCTTAAAAATTTGATTTAAAAATGCAACCACGATACAAGCCGTCATTTACGTTAACACGTTAAAGATTTGAGTGTTAAACTTGAGTCTAATTTTAAGATTTTCAACAGATTTTGAATTTCGACAGACAGACAAACAATGTTTACAATTCTATTTTTCAAAATTATTTTTCTTTTTTCCTTTTCTCTTGAACTTGAATTATATTTTATTTGATAATGGAAAAAAGAAATTTACAAAAAAAAAAAAAATTTACCAAAAATAATGAAGAGTTGCTTGGCTTTTTAATAAAGTTAGATGACTAAAAAAGTAAAAGAAAAACGGAAATTCATTTAATAAAAAAGAAATGTAACAGAAGGGGGAAACAAAACACTTTTCAAATTCTCAGAAAGCATAGAGGGAGCTGCATATAGAAAATGGAGAATCTGATAGGATGATTACCGCCAAAAAAAATTGAAATCCTTGAAATAATTTAGAAGGTTTTTATGAGGTGAAGAAAACATTTTTGAACTTTATTGTATTTTTGTTTTTATTTGCGTATCTTCGTTTTTTTGATTTTGTAGTAAAACAGCTTCAGCATAGAAAAATCCTGCCTTTGAAATTATTGGAATTTTAATGTAAAAAGTGATTTTTCAGATCCTGAAAATATTCTGTAAAATTTAAATTTTTTTTTTAGTAAATGAAGTTATGGGTCCAAAAGTCAAATAAATTTAAAGGGCTCTTCTTATTTCTGAAAAAGCTTTGTTTTAAACTTGATTTTTGAATAATATTTAAAGCAATTTGGCGGGGCTTCTGAAAATCTCATTCGGCTTATTTGCATAAATTTTATGTTACAAGCGTTGTCGTATTGCATGATTTGTCGAACTAAAAACTTTAATTTCAAAATTATTGTATTTTTACTTAAATTTTATCATTTTACTTAATTTGCTTGAGTTTTACACAACATTCATCCTTAAAAATTCCAATTTTTGTACAAAAATTATCCCTAAAATCAGTGGTGTTAAAATTTCACAAAAATAGGTGCGTTATAAAACCAAAAGAATAAAAAAATAATTTTTAATGACAAATTTTTGCAAAATTAAGTGACAAATGAAAACAACAAAAATTATAATGGGAGCTATAAAAGCTTTACTCTATTATTATTAGGAACATTTTTTTGAATATTGTATTGTTTCTGTGCCATATATGAATATTTTAACCGCATATATACATACGTTATATGTATGTGTAGATTTAATTTAGACGAAATGAGAAAAGAAAATAATTTTCAATCGGAATTCATTTTCTAAAATGTTTCTAGTTGCTAATTTAACATAATGGGTATGTACATTTATGCATGTATAAATACATGTTTTTTGTTATAAATATTCATGTACATTACCCCCCCCAGCGGGCACTAAATTTGTAGGTTGATTACTACAAAAATACATTTTTTTTATCCAATTTCATTCGAAATCTCAATTTACTTTTGGAAATTTAGTTTGCATTTGTATTTTAGACGTGAATACAACTTTATAATTTCTACAAACACATTTAAAATGGTTTGCGTCAGAGAATATCATATAGTTTATTGAGACCCTTTGATATAAAAATGGAACGCGATAAGCCATTTTTCCATGGAGCGTCAAAGAAGCAGAGACTTAAACTGGGTCAGGCGGTGATGTCCTTCCCGGTAAATTACCAATACGAACACGGGAGCTTTGCATTTTCTCATTAGAAAATATAAATAATCACAAATTCCTCGATTCCTACATTTATTAAAGAAATTTTATAGACTATGCAATACCTATGCTACACTAATGCTATCAACATGAAATCGTTGCATGACAAAATGAAAGGTTCTTATAGTTTGTACATTTATAGACACTTACGAATATATCAATTCATTTAAAGAAATTTTACAGAACATCTCTTACCAATTCTACACGTCTCTTATTTTAATCAGCTGTTTCTCATTTTCTATATGACATGGTAATAAAAAAATAATTTCAGTAGAATTTTCATTGTTCAAAGTGGATATGTGATGTTTTACAAACGATTGGCTTGGTTCCCTAAATTTTTAAAGTAAAATTCTACTTCTTTTCAAACTGAAATTTGAAAAATTTTAATCCATCCCATTGAATCTTTAGCCGATGTACAGATTAGCTCCGGTGCAAAAATAGTCCAATTTTCATCAAAATAAACAAAATTGTCATTAAACAATTATTAGTTTTAAAATATGAAA